ATATATATTATATATATATATATATATATATATATATATATATATAAAATCTGCATTATCAAATTATAATAAAAATAAACATCATTATAAAACAAAACAAAGTGTTTGTCATAAATTAGATTTTTATTTCTTGACTGAAATAGACCTGTTCAGTAGTTGTCTCTATCAAGGTAGATAACTTCTCATCGCCAGTGGATAATTTTAGCTGTAGCCTCCCTTTATATGATGCTAAACTCCAATGAGTATTATTTTAATATTCGCCATTTTTTATGCATGTCATTGCGACACGGTGACTACCAAGAGCATATGATGTCAGTGATCGAGCTGGGGGCGGGGGGATGGTATCCACAAAGGGCGGTGGCCTTGATGTTTGGGTTTTAAAAAAGTAGGAACAAATTTAAAACAAATTACAACCTTTAGTATTGAATGATGCATGGTAAAAGTTAAGAAAATATAAGGATACCAGGATTCATTCGCTGATTTAACTTGAAATTAATCTCCCTTGATTGTGTAACAGTACAATAATACGCTTTCCAGTCAGTGACTGGTAAAAACCGTTCGCAGTGTTTACAAAGATTAAAGGTGTGGGGGTTGGGGTGGAGGCGTACATTTACGCATATTGTACGAGCTCTCCAGACAGTGTTATTTAGAAATGGCTATAGTCTTTGTTGGTTACAAATCAATTTCTCTCAACTTCAACGTGAGAGATAAATTACTTTTGTGGGTCTATTGTATGTGTTATTGAGAAATGGCTATTGTCTTTGTTGTTTACACATTAATTTCTCTCATCTTCAGCGTGAGAGATAAATTACTTTTGTGGGTCTATTGTATGTGTTATTGAGAAATGGCTATTGTCTTTGTTGTTTACAAATTAATTTCTCTCATCTTCAGCGTGAGAGATAAATTACTTTTATGGGTCTATTGTATGTTAGAGAAATAAATGTCAGAGATTCTTGTATCGCTATCGGACTAGTTACCATAGGGTCGGGGTCGATAGAGTGTCCAGTTGAAACGTTAAGAAAAATATAACTGCACTTCATAGAAATAAAATTAAATATTACGATTTTTAGTACACAATTGTACCTAAAAGAGTTCAGTTATTAATTGCTGGTTACGTAAAAATCTTCTGATACTACATTTTTTTAATTAATTGAAAAACAGAAAATATAAAAACTTGCTTTCTTTAAAAAAATATAGGCCGCAATAATATGTAAGAGATCTTATGAGCTATCCAAGTTAGTTTTTTTTAAAGAAAAACAAGTGTGTTTAATTACACGATTTTATTTATTTTGCAACGTCCGTTTGTTTACTTGTTTGTGTTAGGATTTGTAGCAAATTGGGTATCTCAAATGTTAGCAACTTCTAAAGCAACGATTTCGTTAACACATTCCATAAACGTTCCTCTGGAAACAATGGTTTAGTAATTAAAAATTAATTTAACAAAAGTGGATATACTTGCTAGACCTGGTCGCCTTATCACAGTGGTTATTTATAAAATAAAGTTTTATTATAATCATCTGAAAACAGCGTTTCCTACTGGTATCGTGTTAAATGAAACAAACAAAAAAGCCCGAGCATTAAAATAAGATATGTATATCTACATTCTACATTCTACACCCATAGCCTAGTCCTTAAGATATTTACTATTTACTCTCACATGAGAAGCTCAAGGCGAAATCGTAAACACATATTAGTGCGTCCTACACTTAGATCTTTAAAGTAGGCCAGGAACGACTTGCGCGTACATAATTGTGCTATGACGCGTGAGTTAATCACTATACGCTCAATTAAACCATCTAGACATGTGGGGACGTACACAACGTCATAAATCTACAATAATATCAATGTCAACACTTTTTCTTTCTGTTGTCAATGGTACATACTATATTGCTCAATTTATGTTCAAACCATGCAATTTGTATATCTTCTATTATTCGACTACAACCAATGCGTATAGGATATAGGAATGAAAGTACTGAACGATGCACTTTGACTAATTAAATATTTTTTGTGTGTAAGGATAAGATAATGTGAAAAAAGTGCATGAATTTTCCTTAACTTTAAAAAGACTTTCTTCATACTGTAAATTATGCAATAATTGTTTAAATACCATTACATATTTAATATGTTTTTAGAAAAAAAATTCAACATTTTCTAGAATATTTGTAAAATCATTATTCACACCGCGAGAAAAGTATGACAAAAAAAGAACTTTACTGCAGGGTCAAAGGTGCAGCTGATATAATCACATGTTTATTTTTGTTTCGTAATATGCCAGCACTCTGGTCGTTTAAGTAGACAGCTGACCTCTTATCTCGATGCTTGAGTTGTTTTCGGTCACTGCATGTAACGTGATACTGGTGGGAAGCTAAGTTACCACACCCACGCTAATTACTTACGTATAATATGTTTACTTCATTCATGCAATTCAGGGATTCTCAATATGATGATGAAAAGTATTTTTTTAAAAATAATTTTTACAAATATCAATTGATTTGAAAAAAAAACGTGTTTAACCTTAAATAAAGTTCATATTGGTTAGTTATATTTAGAGCTTTCTGCTCGACCATTTTTTTTATAATTGTTCATCAAGTTTGTCTAAGCCGTCACAGGTGCGACGTGAATTAGCCTTCTGACTTACTAACCTGTATTAACTGACGTTAGACGTATTAACCAATAATTTATTCAAGTCTAGAGGTGTTGTTAGTTAAATATATAGTCATTAGACGAGACACAAAATGTATTAGAATGTCTTTCTAGAAGTCATTCTGGCCAATATATTAATATTTGATACATCAACTATGAGACGATCGAATTTATTCTGTCAATCTTTGATCTCAAGTGAGGGCTAGTTGAATATCTAACCACTAGATATATTTAGATATGTACTGGTGAAAATCAAATTCAACGTTTTGTTTGATTTGCTGTTGTTACTAATTAACTACCACTATTTTTAAGAGGTGGCTTCTTCAAACTATTATAAAATAGACAAACAAGAAGCTCTTCAATTTATTGAAAAGTTAAATTAAAAAACAAAGGAGTAAGTTAATAGTATTAATTTGTGCATTATAAAACACCTACTTTATATTTGTAAACATAAAATAAAATCGTTTATAAAAACCAAAATGAATGACTTATAATTCATTGTAAAAATATGAGGTCGGCGCGACATATGTAGTTATAAAATATTATTTGAGATCCGCAACGTGAAACTTTATAGCAGTGTAATTGTTTATGGCATAATTTCTAAGGAAGAAAACGCCTAAGTGTCTTATCAACACATCTTTGACATCTGTAACAATTTTGTGCTATAAATAGACGGCAATATACTCACAAGTAAACAGAAGCAGCGGTTTAGAGAAGTCTCCAGTTCGTGTGATACAACTCTACAATGTCTGCTGTTTTAGTGACGGCTCTGTTGGTTGTAAATATAATGTTCACATGCGGTGAGTACGTTTGTATTATATCTGCATCACAAATTAGATGGCGAATGATGCATTTGATAATTTGTATATTTTTAGGTAACAATTGTTTTAGTTTTTAAAGCATGGACAAAATGATTAAGTAAGTCTTCATTACTGTTCCATAGCTTGAGTTAGGTTACAACCTCATGGAACCAATCTCAAAATTTTTAGTCACCTGAATTCAACCTCGTCCAAAAACTAAAATGTATAATCGGTCTAAATATTCTGATTAAAAACAATAATTAGTGGCTTTAAGCAAGAAAGTTTTTTTTTTAATATATCAGTAACAAACCTAACAGTTCTTTTTAAAGATGTTTTGTTATCTTTTTCGATCAATCGATATCTTCCGATTGTTTTTAAAAGTACTTTTCGACGTCATTGCCTCAAACACACGTCATTATTATATGTTTTGGGTCATATGGTTTATTCATTTATTTGTACTTTTAATGTACTTTGCGACGTTATTGCCCGCAACACACTTCATTATTGTCTGTTTTATGTTCTGGGTCATTTTATTTGTTCACCCGAAAATCATCAAGCTTCTCTTTCTGGATGCGATTCGCTAGAATTTGTCCATCCAATAGAAATTTGTAAGGTAGCAGTTGATGGGTTTCTTAGATGTTTAGTTTCTCTACGGTGCGTTGCGGTTTCTAGCTAATGTTCATCATTTGACCAGTCACCGAAATCGGAACTATTGGAGTTGCAATCTTACCCGTTTTATACAAATTACGCCGTTATCATTGCCGACGTCAATTCTGTACTCGCTTATTACAAAGTATTTCAATTTTGATTCATTTTTTATTAAACAGAAAAAAGGGATATATTTATGATTTTTGAGGCCTGCCGTTTGTTTCACGTTTCAGATATTACATTTAAAAATTATAATACACAAATTATTTTTTTTTAAATTGATTTTTTTGTATACTACTAGCCAACTTTTATACGTAGTTATGTATTAAGTTCTGTTCTATGTAATTTGAGAAGTAGTGTGTTTACACACACGTGGATAAATAGTCCTACGTGTTTTCAGTTACTGACTTTGTCCTAATAGTTTAAATCAACTAATAAATATTTAATAATAATTTACCAAGATTACAATAATAAAACTTAATGTACAAATTACCATTTTCACGTTTGCAACTTTAATTTTTGTTGCAATTAATACATAGATTTCTTTCAAAAAATTTTTACGCAAGAATTGAATAGATGTAACTATTCGGAAGTTGTTATGCGTGAAGTGTAAAAGAAATTCATTTCATAAATAATTTTATTTCTCCGATTTCAGTGTTTTTTTTATTATTCCATAATAGTTTACCACGGATTATAATGCTACAACTAATTGTATACGATACCATTTTTGTAAAGTTAATTTTTCTTGCAATTATTAAATATACTTCTGTCGGCTATTTTACTATGAAGGAATTGCAATAGATGTTATGCAGTAAAAGTATTAAAAGAAAATCATTTCTTAAATATTTTAATTTGACCAATTTCAGTGCTTTATTTCATTACATTCCAGGTCTTGACATTTCAACACAAAGAGAATATTATATGGAGGGTAAAGATTTATTTTGTGCCAAGTTACACTGTGTGGAGAACACAAGAGAAGATAATGACATTTCTGCTCTTGTCAACATGTCAGTCTATAGGATCAGTGAATTAGAGGGGAAGATTGTGTTGGCGTCTGTATCAGATTCAAGAGTTCGAGATTATAAAGTAGCTGGATCAAAAGTTGATGGAAAGTTTTCAAAAGTGTTCGGAGAATTGATCGTATCATTTACAAAACCTTCCGATTGTTTTAGTTCAGTGTTTGGATGTGATGTGTATTACACAAATAGAAGGTATCTCACTGAGATGAAAGAAAATAAAACAAAACCTGTTCACAAAGACAATCGTAAGCCGCTGATGTTGATGACCTTAGAGGCTAAAACTCCAGAGTTTGATAAAACAATTGATAGAATGTCAGAGTTTTTAAAAACTTTTAAAGATTCTGATATGTTAAACAGAGCTGACTTGAAGATGAATTTACAGTTTTTGACAAATGACAAACGTTCTAACCTTAGTTATCATACAGCAGAATTAACAAAGGAGAAGAGTGATGAAACTTTAGTTAACCTAACCAATGTCATGGAAAGTAGATTAAATAGCTTGTTATCTGCCCAAGGATCTACAATTCAGAGACTTGAAAATCAAATGAACAACGTTGTTAACAGATTGAACACCTTAAATAACACAAATCAAGAGCTCACGCATTTTAAATACAACTTAACTGAAAAATTACTAAAATCAACTCAACAGATAGATGAAAACAATAAAACCCTTCAAATACACAATATGTCAGTACAAAACGTATCAAGCCTATACAATAATGTACACAAACAACTGGAGAGACTGAACTACAGTTTGGTTAATGTATCACTTGATATACAGAGTTTGTCACAAAGGTCAAATCAAAGTGAAGTTCTAACAAAAACCATGCAAGATTTTAAAAAAGATTTACTAAATTTTACTAACGAAATGTTAAAAAATAGCACAGCGATATTGGAACAACGTCAAAATCTAAGCATTCAACAACTGGGTGAAAGCAACAAATTACTGGCAGAGACACAGTCAAAAGCACTGAGCGATTTAAAAACAGCTGTATCACTACTAAACAATACTGACATCGATATACACGCCAGTATGGAAGAGATGAACAGCACCATTCAAAACCTGATTACTAAATCAGATCAAATTAGTGCCCAAGTCAAAAGATTACATGGAATTATTGGCCCTGTGCTCAAGGGTGAACACGTAAGTTTAATATAATTTGTTTATCATCTTACTCTGCTTACTCTCAATTTGGCATTTTCCAGTATTTTACGCAGGAATGGCATGTTTTCGAATTAGACTTACATCAATACAATGCTTAGTTGCGTCAAATGTAGAAAAACTAATGTGTTTGTAATTTTTTTTATGTATTCAGATAATATTCTGACAAATGTCAGCTGGTGATTTTTTAAAAAAGAAGATTGCAAAATCAATAACTGTTTATAAAACTGTTTATCTGCTATATCTGTCTCATGGTCTGACGGCCCTTTTGATCCATGTCGCCTTGCATATTGAATGCTATACAAACAAGAGCTAAACAATACGTTACTCTCAATGAAAACGCACCCAGAATAATGAAAATGCGATCACAACTTAGTCTAGATAGAACATTGGCCAGGACATCCCGGCCAGTACGTGCATTGGCCGGCCAATGTACAAAATACGCTGTCAAGTTTAAGCGCTTCGGACTTTGGCCAGTACGTCCCGGCCAGTGCGCGCATTGGCCGGCCAATGTACGAAAAACTATCTTAGTGCTAAGTTCTTCAGGCTTTGGCCAAGAGAGCCGGCCAATGCGCGGATTGGCCGGCCAATCCGCGCTTAGGCCGCACTTCGGGCTTTGACCGTAACATATACACATATGCATGTGTATGTATATATTCTTCGTGGTTGTGTAGGTATCTAGTGCTTTGCTAGGTAATAATATACAGTAGATATTACAATATTATTAGTTATAAAGAAAAGTAGTGAAAATTGAATAAATACATTTGTTTTCAATTAATTTCGTTTCAACTAATAATAAATACAAATATGCAACTTTTTCTCCAGTTAAAATGTACCAAAATGAACGATCGCATTTTAGGGGACATGACGTTTACTGGAGTAGATGTTAACAGAACATCGTGTGATACCAAGACTGACGGTGGAGGATGGATTATTATACAGGTTTTGTTTTTTTGTCATTTAAAACATTCTTAGACATGTACCAATTTAGCTTTTTTCCTACATTTTTTTCTAACAGTTTTGTTGTATTTATACCATTGTAAACACATGTAGAATATAAAATGATAGACAACGATAATGTTGAGAGTAAATTAATTTTGAAGATTGTTCTCGGATAAAAATATGTTTGTGCTGTATGTATACAATTCGGGATTTACTTATAAATCAATTCAACTCACGTATGTTTACCACTGCCGTTATTTTATACATAAACTTCTTTTATTTCTTAAATATTTTGATGTATATTAACATAATTATTCTTTGGAATCAATCAAATCAAATTGTTTAAAACTATATTTTAGCATTGTCGTTACTTGTTACAGAGACGTATCAAAGGTGATGTGAACTTTACAAGAACTTGGAGCGATTATAAAAACGGCTTTGGCTCAACTTTTGGAGACTTTTGGATCGGAAATGATGTAATTTCCAGCTTGACATATTTGGTAAGAAAAGAATGGAAGTTTGAAATCAATGCATAGAAATTGAATTTTGAACTTAAACATTACGCAGGTACACAGAATAATGTTTTATGGGACTATTAATTTGATTGTACCATACACACACTGCTCAATGTAATTGCTATCACTTAATTTGTAATTGTAAAACACAAATCAATTTATTCAGTAAATGTGTACACAAGCTTGATAGTTTAGGTTATATGATGACTGTTTCATAAAACATAAGGGCGTTTCAACATCAATTTCTCAGTTTGATCATAGTTTCTTCTACTTCATTTTTTAAGGAAGCATCTACTGTAAAATGTAGTACTTGTATTAGCCATAAAATACATTGTAGTAACTAATATGACACGCGTAAATGCGTATGAAACATGCATAATTAGCTAAGTGATTTTATCTGACATGAACTATATTACATCATCTAATTTAACACATTTTGCGTGTATACTACTGTCAAATGCATCTAAAAACACAATGTCTTTTCCAATGGATCACATTATTCATATCATTATATCATCACTGAATTGTAGATCAGGTGCACTTACTTTTTTAAATATCTGAAATCTCGAAAAGATGTCTTAGTTTCATCGGCAAAGGCAAAACTAATGGTATAATATTACACCTCTCGCCCAGTGGCGGAACTAGAAAAAAGGGGCCACCCCGCAAAAATATTTTAGGCCCCCCCATATAAATATATAGGCCTATATATATATATATATATATATATATATATATATATATATATATTTATATATATATATATATATATATATATATATATATATATATATATACTCAAACACAAAATACGAACATAGGATACTTATTGCTGGCCTGTTCGTGTTTTAAGAAATACGTGGATTTTTTTTAATTAAGCAAATTACGACATCATGTTATGTGTGTAAAAGCATTAGTCTGTTTTGTGAATATCAGTTTTATATTATGTCTGCCGTAGCCCTCAACATCGAATCGGTCAAAAGAATATAAAACATGAAAGCTTTCTGTAAATAATGGTGTCTCGTGTCATGTTTATTTTTATGTTTTTTTTTGTATTTATTTTATTAATTTTAAATACATTTTTTTATACAGTGTCATTCTTTAGTAAGTAATTTATTAACAAAAACTAATAAAGAGAAGTAATTGCTTTTTGATTTGTTTAGTACAAATCTATTAAAAAGAGGCTTATGAGCATCACTATTTGACTATTTAAAAAAGGGAAATAAGTCATGGAAGTAGTTTGAACGTTTGCTTATCTTTGATAAGTTTGATTATAGGAGAAAGAGGACTCGGCTTTCACAGTGGTTTAAAAACGAAGGAAAAATGAGCGTGGGTGGTGTCTATAGAATAAAGATAACCCAACCGCAGCTACTGTAATCTTTTTTACAAAACAAACATTAAGTCAAAAATGCAAGAAATTTTTTTTTAACTATAACAATTTTTTCATGGTCGGCCGTGGGCCCCTAAATGGCGTGGGCCCCTAAATGGCGTGGGCCCCCCCCCCCCCGCATTGCGGGGTCTGGCGGCACTGTAGTTCCGCCCCTGCTCTCGCCTTCCCACCCTCTTTAGTTATCCTCAAGTCATATTATTCTATCATTACTCTTAATAAAAAGCTAAGTGTCTTGATCCGTTGATTTCAGAAGTGTTTATTAGATAAACGATATACAGAGTACGTAGATATTTTAGGAAGGTTAACACAGATTATAAAATAATGATTGTGGTTATGTATCGAACCTTAAAGAATAGTGTAATGCAGTCAGCAGGATATTTACCACTGTCATTTCTTCCTCTACCGGTTTTATCAACAGTTCTATTCCACACCCTCCCGCCTGTCCTCACCTTTATTATATTAACCCCATTACACAACATACATATAGGATACAAATAAGATACGTTGTAAGATTTAGAATTAGGGCTTTTGAGCTTATCAAAAGAAGGCAAATTACATAAGTAATATATATTGTAAGTGAGATGGGTCTACTAACTGCGAGCGTGTTACAACTGCAGGCAACGTAAGGTGTTTAATGTTAAGGAGGGAGTTCTAGAAAATACATACGTAAATTGAATATAAATAGTATTTCTTGTAAGGGAATATATTTTTAAGTTAAAATGTAATCAGGCAATAGATAATGTAATATTTCAATTCTCTATAGACCTCTGTTGTTTTATTGATGGGATATATACAGGAACTATCGAAATAAATTCATTCAACTTTTTTCTTTTTACAAAGAAAGTTTTAAAGCAGTGTGTGTATTATTGTAATAATGTGGTTTGGAAAATTGTGCATATTGTTTATAGATTTTCGTTACGTTTTTTAATCAATATGTATAATTATCATATAGTATAGAGGGATCAATACTTACAATTTTTCAATCACAATGCAGTATCTAAATATTTCTAATTTTTTTGTCTAATACAGGGTTATAATGAACTCAGATTTGACATGAAGTATAAAGGTAAAGACTACTTCGCTGTGTACAGAGGTTTTAAGGTAGAAAATGAAGCAGCAAAGTATAAGATGAGCTACAAGTCATCCAGTGGTGGGAATGTTGAAGACGAGTTTAGTTTTCACAAGGACATGAAGTTTACAACCATTGACTCTGATAACGATGGGTGGTCAGGTGGCAACTGTGGTGTAGACATGAGAGGTGGTTGGTGGTATTCCCGGTGTCACTTGGTTAACGTCAACGGTGAATGGGCGAGTCGTGTTAAATATAAAGGAATTCAATGGGATAGCATTACAGGCAGGTCTGACTCTCTAGACTTTGTTGAGATGAAACTTCGTCGAATGTAAACAACCCGAAAACAATGCTTTGGTAAAATAATGGATATACAAAAATTAAATTACAAATACAATCTTCCGAAAAAAAAACAGGACTACCTGAAGTAAAGTAAATAAATTTATAATTAACTAAGGCAATATTTTCTTGATGATGGAGATAAAAGTAAGGAACACTAAATCATAACATTTTATTTGGAAATTTATTTTAAAAACTCTAACATAATTTATTTTATTACGATGAGATAATTAGACCATACATGCAGTCATCTAGAATAGAAATACCTTGTAGATTGACAGTGTGTGTGCTAGACATCAAAGAAAAAAAAAGGTTATGATGGTTTCATTTATTTCTTACATAAGCCTAAATAGACTTGCAGTGTAGTTGTCATCTACCACTATAACTTTAATTAGCCATTTACTCTGATTGTGTGTATAATAAATGTGTATATTGTGCGGTCATTACAATGTAGTAGAGTAAATGGGTTATTTATGTAAATCTAATGTTTAAATAGTTTTAATTTTTACCTAATGTATTTCTTATTGTCCATGTTTTTTTTTTATTTAGGAAACTTTTTTTTTGAACACTTTTTTTTTATTACGGGGATCGGTATATTCTTTTATTATCGTTTTCAAGGTACATAATTATACCATCACTACTCGAGTAGTTAATTTTAATTGTTGCCTCCCTTGATGTATTTAATGTATTTTGTGTATTATAATATACGAGCCGACCCGCGGCGTATTATACGCCGCTATTTATTTGTTTTATTTTCTACTTTTCAGTAATTCATAATTTGAATACTGCCACTGAAAATCTTTGCTTTAAAACACTAAATCCCTCCTTTCCCCCAACCCCCACCCCCCTTCCCGTGAAAGCAGCCTCCTCTTAGTTACCTCCTCTAAGTTTAAAATCATTTCAAACTAAATTATATGCCTCTAGTAGCCGTCACTAACCCTGCTCTACGATTGTGTCACATTTTCGTCTCATTTAGCGTGAACCACAGCTCACCAGACCATGTGGGGGTGGGTGTCGTAGCGATATGCCTAGAGAGGAAGAGAGGGGGCTGCAAGGAGTGTATTCTATGGTCTCCAAGAAGAGAATTATATATATAGATAGTAAATGCTTGAGAAATATTCCCTTACCTCATTTTAAATGTTGGGTTGTTTAATATGTTTACATGGACACCATTAAAGAACAGCATTTACATACATCTTTTGGTTGTCTAATTTTCACAATTGTTTTTATACATTTTTATTATATAATTATATACAGAATTTGTATATAAAGTCTTCCTTTGTGTGGTTTAATGTATTGTTTGGTTTATATATTTAAAAGCACATCCGTTTACGTAGATTATGATATGTGTGTTCTTTTATTTGTTTTTTTTTTGTTGTTTTGTTTTGCGTTTGTCTTTTGGACAATGAATAAAAACGTCTGAATTATCAAACATATAATAAATGTTGCTATTTTTAATGCTAGTTACTATCGGGAAGAAGCAAACTAAAACGACGAGATGAGAGGTCAAAGCGATGCGGTCATTAAAAATGGAATTGTACAAATGAAGCTACCAAGTTAGACTCGCATAGAAGAATCTCTTGAATAGCATTGTTTAATGTCTTTAAAACTGATAAACTTAACGCTATTAAACATATGGTACTGCGTGGTATGGAGGTAAAGACCAAGGTTCGGATCCGAGCTCGAGATT